CTCATCTGGCAACCTTCCAGTAACTAACTCTTCTCTTGCTTTTAACAGCCTCTCTCTATTTTTAACCTTTGGCCTTTTAATAATAATGTGTCTTGGAGTGGGCCTCCTTGCATCCATCATAACTGGGACTCTCTCTGCTTCCTGGACTTGCATGTCTACTTCCTTCACCAAATTAGGGAAGTTTCTTTCACTATTTCTTCAGATAGGTTTCCAATTTCTTGCTCTTTCTTTTTTCCTTCTGGCATCCCTCTGAGGCGAATGCTGGACCTCTTAAAATTGTCCCAGAGGCTGTTTATACTATTCTTAATTTTTGGGTTCTTTTTTCTTCTTGTTGTTCTGTGTGGCTGGGTTTTTTTTTTATTTTTTTGTTATTTTTTAATTTAATTTTATTTTTTTGCTTCCTTATGTTCCAAACCATTGATTTGCTTCTTGGCTTCATCCATTCTACTGTTGTTTCCCTGTAAATTGTTCTTTATTTCAATTAGTGTATCCATCATTTCTGACTGGGTCTTTTTTATGCTGGTGGGGTCCTCACTAAGTTCCCTGGTCATCCTTACAGGCAGTATTTCAAACTCTGCATCTGATAGATTGCGTATCTCCATTTTGTTTAGCTCTTTTCCTAAGATTTTAATCTCTTCTTTATTTCAGGCCATGTTTCTTTGGTTCCTTGTCTTGGCAGCCTCCCTGTGTTTGTTTCTATGTATTAGGTAGAGCTGCTTTGAGTCCATGTCTTGGTAGTGTGGTCTTATGCAGTAGGTGTCCTGTAGGGTGCAGTGGCACAGCCTTCCCTGTCACCCAAGCTGGGTACTCAAGGTGCACCCTTTGTGTGGGCAGAGAACACCCTCCTCTTGTAGTTGAGCCTTGGTTACTGTGGGCAGCTCAATGGAAGGGATTTACCCAGGCCAGTCAGCTGCAAGGACTGCTTGTGACCATTGACCACCAACCACTGCCCTCCATGGAGGATCAGCTGTGCAGGGGCTGGATGGTGGTGCTTTGATGTGGTTTATAGCTGTCCACTGGGTGTATTGGCCTGGTGTTTCCTGGGTGGTACAGGCCAAGGTCATCCCCTGCCTGTGTTTTGCCCAGGGGCCACCCTGCCTGAGCTGTAAAGCATCTTGAGATGGCTGCTACTTGTGCAGTACTTGGAGATTCCCAGGTGAAGCCAAGCTGTGAAATCTGGCTGCTACTAGGGCTCACTAAATTCAGCTGATGCTTGTTTGATAAGATTTAGGAGCCAAGATGAGCCATTTTTATGGAAAAGCAGCTTGGGTGGGCCTGTAAGTTGGGTAGGGTAGAACTTCCGTGGATCTCCAAGGTGGGTCACACAGTGTTAGGCAGGATGATGGAGTCTCAAATATGGCACAAGCCTACCGGCTCTGTGGAGTGAGGGCTCAGGAAAGGGACAATGGCCTCTGCTCGCCCAGATGCCAGACACTTCAGTCTCTCTCTGTGTACCACTGGTGCCCTTCAAACTGCCACTCCAGTGCTGGAGCTCAGAGGGAACGAGTCTGAGTAGGTGAGTCCATGCGTGGGTTTCCCAAGAGGAACTGCTTGGGGCTCCAGCACCCTTCTCCACCAACTCAGTCCCCGCTGGTTTTTGCAGCTAGAAGTTGTGGGGACTTATCTTCTTGGCACTGGAATCCTGGGCTTGGGGGCCTGGTGTGGGTCTGGGACTCCTCACCCCTGAGATATCCCTCCTGAATTTTTATCCACATGGGTGTGGGACCAGCCCATTCCACTTCTGCGCCCCTCCTACCAGTCTGGATGGATATGGTTTCTTCAATTCTGTAGTGGTCAGACTTCCATTCAACTTGACTTTGTAGTTGTAAGACTTCTGTTCAAATTGATTTCTGATGCTCCTGAGTGATGGTTGTTCTTTATTTTAGCTGTAATTTTGATGTGGTTGTGTGAAGAGGCGAGCCTTGTCTGCCTATGTTGCCACCTTGACCAGAAGCTGGGAATGACAATTTTCAATGTGTGCATCAAAAGTATTTTTTAAACCTGTGAATGTATTGCATTTTTAAAACAAAGAAAATACATTTAATGATATAACCAAGAAAAGGAAATAGAGATATAAAAAGGTGAGAAAGAAAGAGGGAGGGGCAGGGAGAATGACTGGAGAAAGATACAGACATAGAAGGGGGAGGCCTGGGGGAGGAGAAGGAGGAGAGACACAGATAGATATAGAAATAGAAAAGGGGAAAGGGATTGGAGAGGAGTGGGGATGGGGAGGGAGAGAGAACATGAGCAAGCATGCAAGAGAGAGAGAAAAGAGAGGGAGGGTGGAGAGAGAGCCTGGGAGGTAAGGAAATGAGGATAATGAGTATAGAAAACTCATTTAAGGAGGCTTGCTGTGAAAGAGAGAAATCAAGTTGTGGGTGGAGGGGAATGTAGACTTGGGTGGTGTTTTATGCCAGGACATAGGATAGCGTGTTGTGTATGATGTTGGGATGATCCAATAGGAAATGCAACATTGAAGATGTAGGTGGGAGAGGTAATAATTGTATAAAGTGTTTCTGTGTAGGGGCGGGGTGGAACCTGCACACAGGTGGAAAGGATGGTTTAGGGCAGCAGCATGCAGCTATTTCCTGGTGTGAGGGAAAGGCAGAGAAATGAGCTCAGAGGCAGGTGGAGAGATGGGGACATTCTCAGGAGGGCAACATCTGAGAGTGATAAAAGAGTAAAGAGAGGGTTTCAGGAGAGAGATGGTGTGAAGTGTTTTCCTTGAAGAGTGAGAGAGTAATTATGGAAAAGGTACATGATCACTCAGCTGAGCTAAGTGGATACTTGTGGTTTGAGGACATAAATTGAAAGTGAAACCATTGGATATGATGTGTGTTGTTCTCTAGCTCCCTGGGAACAGGCACGGAGTTAGTGGAGAGTTGGATTCAACCACAACAAAAGATTTGAACAGACATTTCACCAAAGAAAATATATGGAAGGCAAATAAGTACACAAAAGATGATTCATATCCCTAGCTATGAGGGAAATACAGAATTAAAACCATGATGAACTACCATTACACACTTCTTAGGATGGCTACAATTTAAAAATACCAATGATTTCCAAATATTGGCAAGGCTTTAGAAAAACTGGATCTTTCATACATTGCTGGCAGGAAGGTAAAATGGTACAGCTATGCTGGAAAACTTTTTGCATTTTCTTAAAAAGTTGAACATACACTTACCATACAACCCAGCAATCTACACCTGGCACTTATTTTAGAGAATGGCAAACTTACATTCATATGAAAACCTTTATACAAATATTCATAGCAGCTATATTTATAATAATTAAACTGGAAAAAACCCAAATGTCCTTCCACTTGTGAATGAAGATAATGAGTATAGAAAACTCATTTAAGGAGGCTTGCTGTGAAGGAGAGAAATCAAGTTGTAGGTGGAAGGGAATGTAGACTTTGGTGGTGTTTTATGCCAGGACATAGAATAGCGTGTTGTGTATGGTGTTGGGATGATCCAATAGGAAATGCAACATTGAAGATGTAGGTGGGAGAGGTAATAACTGTATAAAGTGTTTCTGTATAATAATTGTAATAAAGTAAAACAAAAGGTGGTATACATCCATACCACGAAATGCAACATAGCAATTTAAAAAATCAGCAACAATCTATTGATATGTGCAACAACCTGGATGGATCTTGAGGTCATTCTGTTAAATGAAAAAACTCAAAATGCTGAATACTATATGATTTCATTTATACAACATTTTGAAATGACAAAATGATAGAGATGAAGAACAGGTAAGTGGTTACCAGGGATTTGGAAGGGGTACAGGTCGGGTATGACTACAAAGAGTTGCCCAAGGGAGTTCTTTTGTGATAAAGAAACAGTTCCATATCTTGAATGTGGCTGTGATTACATGAGTGAATACAAATAGTACAATGTCCTAGAATTATACATAATATAAATGTGTGCATGCAAAAACGGGTGAGATCTGAGGAAGATGTATAGTGTAAACAATTTTATACTGTCCGGGTCAATTTCTTGATTTTGATAATGTTCTATATTTGTGTAAGATGTCACCATTGGCAGAGGCTGGGTGATGGGCATACAGGAACTCTCTGCACTAATTTTGCAACTCCTTCCTGGTTTATAATTAATTCAGAATGGAAAGTTTGTTGGACGACTACCTACATGGATATTGCAGTAATCAAGAATGAGGACAAGGTTTGTGCTGGAGAGCAGTTTGTGAACCAGGCACATAGGCCATGTTTACATAATAGGAATGTTTACATAATAAACATTCACAAAACCACCATTAAAATTAAACATATATTAACATTTTGTTATATTTGCTTCTCGTATGTCTTTAAAAATGAATAAATAAAATTTTACGGACACAAGTAAAGCCTCAATTTTCACTCACTGATCTCTTCAGAGCACCTGAAGTTGATGTGTATTATTCTCTCATAAGTGTAACAAGATGTTAAAAATAGTTTGATCGAAATATCAAGATACTAGCCCTGGCTGGTGTGGCTCAGTGGATTGAGCATCGGCCTGCAAACCAGGGATGCTGGTTTGATTCCCAGTTTAGGGCACATGCCTGGGTTGCGGACCAGATCCCCAGCAGGGTGTGCGTGAGATGCAACCACACATTGATGTTTCTCTCCCTCTCTTCTTCCTTCCTTTCTCCCCTCTAAACATAAATAAATAAAATCTTTTTTAAAAAATGAAGATACAAGAGATACTACATTTCAAAAGAGGTAGGAAATGACATGCAGAATTTAAACACAAGATTTCTGGTAACTGAAATCAAGATAGCAGAGGAGTGACTAGAAGTCACACTGACCTCCTCCTAGGACCAATCTGGAATTACAGCTAAACTGTGGAGAAATCACCTGGAACAAACAGCTGAACAATAGGGAGAGAGGAGCCTTAAAACCTCCGACAGACAGAAGAATCGGCTTTAGCACAACTTAACTGGTACAGAGTGCAGCAGAGACTTGAGAAGGTGGGTGGGACACCCATGGGCAGCAGTACCAGAAGGATATTGAAGCAGCCAGTTGGATCCCTCTGAGAAGCGCGGGGTCTAAACCATTAGCAGGGATCTCCAGCCTACAGCACCAGAGCCCAAAAAGTACACAGATAACAACGTGCTGTGAAAAGCCGCAGGGTTGCTCTCTGCCAGAGACAGGCAGCTGGAGATGCAAAGAGCCTTTTAAAGGGCCAAAACATAAATTTTTATTTGCAGCCACTTACCCTGTGATCTGGCAAAGGCAGGGCAGAGTGGGCTAGAGACACCTGAGGAAAGACTGGGAAAGGAGGCTTTGAGGAGAAAACTGAGAGAGTAGCCAGTGGGATCCTGATGCTGAATCCTCCCTCATACAGCAGCAGCCATCTTGCTCAGGCAGGCCACTCCCCTGAGGGGGCAGCAGCCTGAGAAGACACAATAACCATGCCTGTAGGAGGGACTCTGCCCTCCCCCAGGTGGTGTCTAAGCCAGCCTGCTGAGTGCAGAGTGACTAGATTAACAGCTGAGGGTGACAGCCACGGACAGTAGATTCTGAGAAGTCTCGAACAGACTGCCTAAGGTCAGAGAGGGTCCAAATCTGACATCATCAGAGGCAGATCCAGAAAGAAAAAACAGCAGTCTCCTGCCATAGAAGTTCACACCACAAAGTCAAGAAATCAAGACAGATCAATTTAAGAAGCAAAAGCAAAAAAGAAGAGTCTCATAAATAATGGGAAGACAAAGAAACAACCCCCCCTCCCAAGTCAAAGGGAAAGGAGGAATCCTCAGAAAGAGAGCTAAATGAAATAGAGGCAAGTAAACTCTTAGAAATTGAGTTCAAAACAACAGTTCTAAGGAAGTTCAATGAGCTCAGGGAGCTTAGAGAGAATTACAAAACACTACAGTGAAACAATGAGGAACTTACTGCAAACTATATCAGCATGAAAAAGAACATAGAAACGATCAATAAGAGAGAGTAGGAAATGAAGAATACAATTTCTGAATTGAAGAACACAGTAGAAAGAATAAGATGCAGGCTAGATGAAGTGGAGGATCAAATCAATGAGCTGGAGGATAAGGTAGGAAAAAGCTCCCAGAAAGAGCAAGAAAATGAAAAAAGACTCAAAAGGAATGAAGAGGCATTTAGGGAAATTCAGGACAAACTGAAATGTAATAATATCCATATAATAGGGTTACCAGAAGGAGAAGAAGAGGATGAAGTGTTAAAGAACCTGTTTAAAAAAGTAATGATGGAAAAATTCCCTAATTGGAGGAGAGAAAAAGTCACACAAGTCCAGAAAGCACAGAGGGTCCCATTCAAGAGGAACCCAATGAGGACCACTCCAAGACACATCATAATTAAAATGGCAAATATCAAAGACAAACAGAATCTTAAAGGCAGCAAGGGAGAAACAGGTAGTAACATATAGGAAGCTGTGATACAGCTAGCAGCTGACTTTTCAACAGAAACACTGCAAGTCAGAAGGGAGTGGCAAGAAATATTCCAAGTAATGAAAAGCATAGGCCTGCAACCAAGACTGCTCTACCCAGCAAGGCTCTCCATTAAAATGGAAGGTGAAATAAGGAGTTTCCCAGACAAAAGGCTAAAAGAATACACCTCCACCAAAACAGCATTGCAAGATATGCTAAAGGGACTGCTTTAAGAAAATGAAGAAAGAGTCTGTGAATACCCAGTTCCTTTCATAGCCACAGATAGTTGATAATACCAATATTTTAATACCTATTAATCTGATTGTTACAATGATGTGCTATTTTAATTGTTACTTTATTATTGGTTGAAACTAAACCTGTTTTTGTAGATTTTCTGCTTATTTCTATTGTTTTTAAAAAGCTTTAAATAACTTTTTGGTATTCTTTAACCATTTTTTGATTAAATGTTTGTAGAATTTTTTTCCCTAAAAAAACTATTAACCCATTTTTATATATGTTGCAAATACTTCCCTATTCTATTACTTGTCCTTTAATTTTTTTATATGTATATTACTGTGTAGTCTTAAGTGTTTAATATAATCATATTGTCAATATTTTACCTTATGGTTTCTGGGTTTGAATATTTCCTTCAGGGTAAGAAAAATATTATTTTGTATTTTCTTCTAAAACTCCTTAGATTTTACATATTGATTTTTAATTCACCTCAATATTTTTTGTATAATGTATGAAATAGGTCTCTATATTTGTTTTATTTCAAGTAATAGTGGTCCTTGCACCTTATTTGTTGAATAAGCCTTATTTTCCCAATTGATTTGAACTAGCAGTTTCATCATATATTACATTGTTAGATAATATGTTTATTTCTAGAATGCTCATTTTATTTCATTAATCTACTTGATTATTTCTGTGCTGGTGTCATGTTGTTTTAATTGCTGAGACTTTATTATGCATTTAATTTTTTAAATATTTTATAATGGATTTTGAGATTTAAAAATTAATAAATAAAATCAATCTACATTAAAAAAAAGAAAGAAGGAACTCCTACCTTTTGTGACAACATGGATGGAACTGGAGAATATTATGCTAAGTGAAATAAACCAGCTGGTGAAAAAGAAATTGATCTCACTTATAAGTAGAATCTAACCAACAAAATAAACTAATGAACAAAACAAACCACAGACTGAAAGTGACCAGAGGGGATGGGGAAGGACAATGGTGGAAAGAAGGGGAAGGGATTAGACAAAGAACATGCATGAATGACCCATGAACATGAACAACAGAGTGGGAATTGACTGTGGGAGTGGGGGTGTGGGTGGGATGGGTGGAGGAGGGTGAAGGGGGAAAAATTGAGACAATTGTAATAGAATAAACATGACTTAAAAAGTAAATAAGAAAACTTAAAACAATAATTCTGGCTCACTAGGGGAAGGGGGAAAGATTTGTGATAACTGGTTATCAAGTCTTATGCCATTATCTGTATCATAGCTATAAACAATTAGAGTTGAATTTTTATGTGAGGTGTAAAACATTTAGTTTAATTTAAAGATGAACCATCTCTCCTGCTCCCAAAGTGAACTTTTGCAGGCAAAAAGACTTGAGCTCAGAAGAAGCATTCTTTTGTTTCTCCTTCCCCATGTCCCCTTACCCTTGTCCTTGTTCCATCTGTTCATTGTTTCTAGATGTGGTTTCTGACCCTGTAGTTTTGGACACATCTCAGAGTCAGTATCAGGAGGCCAGGAATTTTCCTTTTTGCTTGTCCTGCTTCAGTGACCTTGCTGACTATGTCTGAACTTGACAGTATTGTAGAGTTGACTCCAACTCATTTTGCAAAACTTACGCCATCCTCTGTGACTTCAAGGCCATGACAGATATAGCTCATTGCTCACCACACTTCAGCCTATGATCCTTCTTAGTGGGAATCTAACAACCATGACCATATATTTAGTGTCATAAGAAATGAAACTTATTTGTATACTGATCACCATTTTCTCTTTTTTTTAATTAAACAAAAAAAAATTAATCCTCATTTGAGAACATTTTTTCATTGCTTTTAGAGAGAGAGAGGAAGAAGGGGGGGGGAGAGATGAAGAAACATTGATATGAGAGAGAAGCATAGATTGGTTGCCTCCTGTACACTCTGACCAGGGACAGAACCTGCAACCTTGGTATGTGCCCTGACCAGGAATTGAACTTCCAAAGTTTCTGTGTACAGGACGACATTCCAACCAACTGAGCCACACCTGGGAAGACTTGATCAATATTTTCTAAACAACCTTTGTACTTTTATTAACAATGCAACTATGAATTGCCTCTTTGCCAATTTTCATTTGTCCAGTTCCTTTTTATCTTTCTTTGTCTGTCTCAAAGTGTTGGTGTGGCTGACCAAAATGACATGGAGCACTTGCTTGGTAAACTGTAGAGACATCAGATGCTAAAGTGGGCAGGGTGGAGACAGGGTTCAAGTTCCAAGTATTTCAAGAAGCCTTTCCTGATCTACTTGCCACGACATACACACTTAGTAATGAGACCTTCTCCCTCTCCACTCCCATCTTTGTGTTTGTATCCTGGAAGGGTTCAGAACCAATTTACCAATATGATAGGCATGTGTAAGGAGATCTCCTCTTCCACACTCTACTGTAAGCTTTTGGAGAATAGGAACCAAATTTCATCTGTTTTTATAACATTGACAATCCGGTGCCCAACATATATTTTACTATCACACAGAAAGAGCATCAGACAACCTCTGTGAATTCCAGATAGCTGCCAAATAGAACTTCAGGTGAGAAAGGTATATGCTTATTATTATAGTCAGATGTAGAGGTATGAACTTCTGAGTCTCCCTGACATGCAACAGAATATACTTCCAGTTTACATCTCTAGTAAAGTCAAACCCCACCACCTTGTTCTGAAAACTGGTACCTGACCACAAATGGCATGCAATTCAGACCAGGATAATCTCATAATCTCACTATCTTCTTGGATTGCCTAGATTGGCCTTGTGATCCAGGATGCTGATGGAGTCAGCATGAGGCTCTAGGTTCCCTGACTCCAGATCCAGTACTCCAAATCTAGCACTGGCAAGTACTGCATTTCTGCTTATTCCAGGATTTCTGGATGCTAAAGTGGGCTGGGTGGAGACAGGGCTTCCTCTGCTGGAACACAGGGCTTGGAGATAAGTAATGGCCAACACCTGCATTCTAAGCACCTGTCGGCACTCTTCTTGAAAAATGTTTTTATGAATTGTGTATTGGTCGATGTCAGAGTGCAGCCAATGTGACGAGGAATGCCACTGACATCAAAATGACCAGTTGCCCAGGTAAATGCTAACAGCCTTTGGTTCAAAAGTGAGACAAAATTTCCCTACAGTGTTCCTCAAAGCAGTTCAATTGAAAGAATCATAAGACTCACAGGACTGAATCACACAAGAACCCTCAGTCTAAGTTGGTGTCATCACATCAAAGCATGCTGCCTGGTGCACAGGCGTCATGCACTGTTTTCCTTCCTTTTTCCACCACCCTGCAGTCCAGCAGAGGAAGCTCTTCCCTACAGCCAAGTTCTATTCCAGCATTTGGAAATGAAGGGGTGCATGTAGAATATAAAACCAGTCAAGTGCTGAACAGGGAAGAACATTGAAT